CGCCGCGCGCCCGACGTACAGGTGGGCGTCAGTCGGCGGCACGTGGTACAGGCCGAGCAGGTCGGCCTCCATCAACTTGGCAAACTCGCCGTAGAGCAAGTCCACCATCCCCTGCGGCTCCAGCGCCGCCACGTCCTGCGTCACAGAAGCTGCGCCTCCGCTGGGTGCCTGATGCGACGACGCTGAGCCAGTGGGTTCACCTGTTGGCCTCGGAGGGCCCCTAGGATTCCCCACATACTTAGCGTCAGCTATGGGGTTCAGCTCTCCCTGCTGGCATCGCTCCTCTGATGGTGGTGCCGATGACGGATCAGAATCCTCACTGATGCGGGGAAGAGCCTCCTCCTCCGTTGAGTCCACCTCGACTGGGTCCTCCACCGTGTCGCCGTACAGGCCGAACACTGCATCCGCCCAGTCCTCGTCGTAACCAGCCCTGAAGTGCTTGAGCGACTCCGCGTGGGTGCTGACGGGCAACTGGTAGCCTGGCCCCAGGACGCTGTCGAGCCTCCAACCAGGCGCCGATGGCTCGCCCAGCGCCTCCGCTCCTGGGAGCCTCGTACTCGCAGCACCTGAGGTGGCCCCAGTCGCGGAGCATGTGGCGCCCTCTGCCCTAGCCACCGCGCTGGAGTCGGCGACCCCAGCGGATAAGGCGTAGGGTGAGTCTGGCGGCCGAGAAGGAGTTGCCGAACTCCCAGTCCAGGCCCCAGTCGGACTCGAGGTGGTCTCCGCAGCTCCAGGCCTCTGCACGGCGACCCCCAGCCTGGCCAGCACCGCCCGCGCCAGCCCCAGAAAGGGCGCCCAGTCTGGCGGCTCGCGCCGTGGGCCCACTGGCCGCTGTGCTGGCAGCGTGCGCGCCGCATTGTGCACCAGCCTGCGCTCGGGTAGCCCCCTCAGGCTCAGCTGCAGGCGCACGGGCCAGTGGGGCGCCAAGGCCGTGTCCAGCCTGCTGCAGCCCTTGACCATGCCGCCCAGGCCGCTCGACACCACGAAGTAGTCGATCTCCGAGCCCGAGCCGACGCGACAGGTCGGCACGCCCGGCGCCACCACCATGCCGTCGACCTCCTGGGGCCAGCCCCACGCCTCCAGCTCCTGGGGCTTGCAGTTCCAGTCGCCTCCGATGACGTAGGGCACCTGCACGTAGGCCAAGTACTCACCCAGCTGCCCCAGGATGAGCTTCGACTCCGCGTCGAGGCCCTTGGCCGCCACCAGGTACACCGACACCGCCAGGAAGCCGCCAGGCACTCCGCAGTTGACCCAGCGCGCGATCACGCGGTCCTTGGGCAGCTTGGGCCCCTTGGGAGCCTGGCCCATGCCAATGTGGGCACGGACGCCGACGCCCACACCGCTGGAGAGGCCGCCCTTGTCGGTGCGCACCGACTCGTTGAAGGCCACCTTCCAGCCCTCTCGGCGGCAGGCCTGCTCGACCTCGGCCGCCGCTCCTGGGGCCACGCCCACCTCCTGCAGGAAGACCACGTCGGCCGTGGCGTCCTGCTGCAGCCATCGCATCATGCTGCCGCGCGCCGTGGTGTTGGCCGTGTCCAGCCGCCAGGCGCCAGCCTCACGCCTGGTCAGCGCCAGCCGCCGCCTGGCCTCCACCGTCGCCGCGGGCGCGCTTGGCCTCGGGGAGGTCGAGGCCGACGGCCTGGCACGCCTCCTCGAACTTGCGGCGGTTCTCGCCCTCGAGCTTGTCCACCTGGTCGAAGAAGGTGTGGTCGCTCCCTTCTTCTGCTGCTGCCGCGCCTGTGGCCTGGCCCCGCTCGCCGTCTGCACGAGCATCAGCAGCAGCACCAGCAGCAGACGCGTCGCCCGTGCCCATGGGCTCGTCCTCGTCCGCCTTGCACTCAGCTGACGCAAGCTCGGCACGGATGGCGTCGACCTTGCGCTGCAGAGCGCCTCGCGCGGCCTCGATGGTCCCTGCGTCGGCACCATAGCCATCGAGCGAGCCCAGCGCCTCCAGGCTGGTGACCGCCTTGGCCAGCTCGGCAGCGCGGGCCGAGCTGCAGCCAGGCGGCAGCCCCGTCTTCTCCATCTGCTTGGCCAGCTCCAGCTGCTCGCGGCCCTCCGTCTGGCGCTTGCGGGCCACGTCCAGCGCCGCAGTCGCCTCGTCCAGCGCGGCCTTCGCGAGCCGCACTCGCTCGGTGGCCTCGACGTGCTCCGCCGCCCTCGCCGCCGCCTGCTTGTCCAGCTTCTGCATGCGCCAGATGCAGTTCTGCAGGACGTCGGAGTAGGTCTTCGGCTTGGGCGCGCGCGGCGCCTCCTTGGGCGGGGCCAGCTTGGCGCGGTCCTCCTCGGCCACGACCACGCCCTTGGACGCCAGGTGCTCCAGGAAGGAGGCGACGTCCGCCTCGCTGAAGCCCGTGCTGGGCGGGGCCTGAGCTGGCGCCTCAGCGCTGGCCGCGGCGTCGCCAGTCGGGACACGAGCGTCCCTGCCGACGGCCTTGGCCTTGCCCTTGCCCTTGCCCTTGCTTCCGCCTGCTGGCTGCGCACTCGGCTGCACACCGCCAGCGTTGGCCAACGCCAGCTGGCGCACCGAGAGCGGTGCCGCTCGCCCACAGGTGCGGCACGCCAGCCTGCAGGCCCAGTTCCCGTCGGTGCCGCAGGCGCAGCCCCAGGCCGGCTTGCGGGGCCCCGGCAGGACGACGGCCGCCGAGGGCGGCGGGCGCTGCCAGGGCGCGGGCGTCGGCCCTGCGCCACCGCTGCGAAACCCGCGAGCGCCGCCGCCGCCGCCGCCTCCCCACGCTGCGAGGCGCGGCGCATGCTGCGGCGCCCCGCTGGGAGCCATCGCGGAAGCCCAAATGTGAACGGAATGATTCCCTCTCTCGCGGCCAGATTGGCACGCACGAACGCGCCGCTCTGAAGTACGTTCGTGCAAGACCCCCCCCTTCTCCTCAGGAAGAGCCCAGAACGGCTCTCCTCGTCCTCCTCTTCCTCCTCATCCTCCTCCTCCTCCTCCTCCGCCTTCTCCTCCTGACCGCGGCCAGGCAGCGAAGACGACGTCAGCGTCGCGCTGGCCCGGCGATCCCGACAGCGCGCCCGGGGCTGAAGAAAAGCCTGGCTCGGGCGCAACAAGAGCGTGCGATTGGCGCGCACGGCTCGAAAGACGACGCGCGCGCAGCGCATACTAAAGCTTGGAGGGTTTCTCCGAAGGGCTTAGGCGACCCGTCCTCCTCCTCCTCCTCCTCCTCCTCCTCCTCCTCCTCCTCCTCCTCCTCCTCCCTGCTTCTCCTCCTCCGTTCTCCTCCTCCTCCTCCTCCTCCTCCTCCTCCTCCCTGCTTCTCCTCCTCCCTCCTCTCTCCTCCTCTCTCCTCCTCCTCCTCCTCCTCCTCCTCCTCCTCCCTCCTCCTCCTCCTCCTCCTCCTCCTCTCCTCCTCCTCCTCCTCCTCCTCCTCCTCCTCCTCCTCCTCCTCCTCCTCCTCCTCCTCTCCTCTCTCCTCTCTCCTCTCTCCTCTCTCTCTCCTCCTCCTCCTCCTCCTCCTCCTCCTCCTCCTCCTCCTCTCTCCTCCTCCGCCTCCTCCTCCTCCTCCTCCTCCTTCCTCCTCCTCCCCTTCTCGTCTCCTCCATCTCCTCCTCCCCTCCTCCATTTCCTCCTCCTCCTCGTCCTCCTCTTCCTCCTCCTCCTCCTCCTCCTCCTCCTCCTCCTCCTCCTCCTTCTCGGGCCGCCTACGGCCCTGGGGGAAACCTGCAGTGAAGCCCTCCCAGATTGAGGGGCGACGATATGGCGGGGCCTGCATAAGGGGGGGACGCATCGACCTGCAATCGGCGATACATCGCCAACACATCGGCAATAGGTTCCCGATGGCAAATCCGCACGTTCCTGGGCGGGGTTGGGTGATCGGGCCCCTATCGGCGATGAGTGGGCGATCGGGGGTCGATGCAACGGGGCACGAGTAGATGCGCTTGGGAGATCGCGTCGCAACGCCTCTGCATCGCCGATGCACCTATGTATGGGAACAGACAACCGTTTAAACATACAAACTCGGAGGTCCGCGCGGATTCCTCGAATCGACGCTGGGGCACAGCGGCACCTCCTGCGCCGGCCATGGCGCACTCCGCGCGCCAGGGATCCGTGGTTCAAAGACGGGGTCCTGAGGGATGGGGGCCTGTGGATAGGGAGGGATCCAAGAGTGGACTCACGTTGTTTGAGGCACCTCGTCCTTAGGACCCCATCGCTCAGGACCCTATCGCTGAACCGCCAGAAGGAGGGGGTCCAGCGCCGACTGGAGAAATCCGCGCGGACCTCAGAGTTGTTGTTCTGTTTATGTCACTGTGCTTCCCGTAGCATCGCCGATTAATCGCCGACGTGTCGGCGATCTTGACGATGCGCTGGCGCCGCCTGCGTGTAGAAGTCGGGCTCCTCTTTGGACCTACCTCTGCCGCGATCAATCGTCTGCATGTACGAGTGGCCCTTCGGCTCAGTGGCTTTTGGTGCGTGCAGACCCAAACGCACGGGCCGCCACTGCCGTGTCGCGTCGCGTCACGAAGCTGCTGACACCAGGAGCAATGTGAGGTGTCAAATAGCGTCAGGTTTGATTACCGCTGAATTCAGTGTTTCTGTCAAGAGCGTTGGACACTCTACTAATTGGCAGCGTGAGGCGCGATGGGGCTGTATCTGCTCAGAAAGAGCCTTCCCGAGGGAGCGCTTCACTGAGGGGGGCTTGGGCCCAAACATTGATAGCTAATTTCTAAGCCTTCCTCGTTCCTGCCTCCCTCCCTCCCTTCCTCCCCCTCCCATCTCCCTCCCTCTCCTCGTTTTCCTCCTCCTCTCTCCTTCCCGCCTCCTCTCGCTCCTTCCCTCCCCCTCTCCCCCCTCCTCCCCCTCCTTGCCTTCGTCCTCCTCCCCCTCCTCCGCCTCCTCCTTCTCCTCCTCGTCCTCCTCCCCCTCCTTGTCCATCTCCCCCTCCGCGTCCTCCTCCTGCTCATCCTCATCCTCCTCATTCTCCTCCTCCACATCCGCCTCCTCGTCCCTCTCCTCCCCCTCCCCCTCTCTCCATGGCTCCCTCGAGGCGGCGGTCATCGCCACCGCTCTGCTTGCCATCAACGCCCCGGTCGTCACGCCCCTGCTCCTTGCGTGGCTGTGGAGGCGCTCCCGCGGCAGGTCGGACGCCGCGGGCGCAGACGACGCGAAGGCCTCGCCCGCCCCCGTGGAGTTGGGCTGGCGAGGTTGTGCTGGAGTGTTCATTCACGCGCACGTGCATTTATACATACGTTTTAAGTTACGTGTTCTGCACAGATGTCTGCGGATGCACTTCTATATTTTCAGCTGCTCGTATATGCACATGTACATGCAACGGTGAATGATTATGCACATGCACACATGTATATATATATATATATATATATATATAGGTATTTACATATATACATATATATATATATATGTGTAAACACACATATCTATAATTTATAAATGTGTATATCTCGGAGTAGGCCAGGGGGGGGCGGGCTGGTGCCACCCTCCCCCATAGGCGCCCCCCCGGACGTTTGGGGTGTCACAGACCCCCCCGGATTGCCCCGGGATTGCCCACGACAGGCCACGCGGGCCGTACAGATGGTCAAGAAAGCCTCAAGAGGCCCCGAAGACGCCTAAGATGGCCCCAAGTCAGCCCAAGAAGCCCCGAAGCCGCCCCAAGAGGCTCCAAAGAAGCGTCCCAAGAGAGCCCCGAGAGGCCAAAATCGATGATTTTCCATTGTGATGTTCGTTTGTTTTGGTTTTGATTGCCTTTTTACCTCGCCGACGCTCCAACAAGGCCCAACAGGTCCTCAAGAGCGCCCCAAGACTGCCCGGGAGGCCCCCCAGACGGCCTGAAGACGGCCCTGGACAGCCCCAAGACAGCCCAAGAGGCGCCCCAGAGGGCCCTAGAAAGCCCAAGAGGGCCCCGCGAAAGCTTCCAGAGGGGCCCACGAGGGGGAACAACAAGTCAAACAATTGTTTCCTGCCCTGAAAGCTTCCCAGGAGGCCCCGAGAGAGCCCCAAGATGCGCCAAGGAGGCCCCCAAGAGGCCCCGAGGAGGTCCCCAAGAGGCCCAAATACCCCAAGAGGCCCCGACACAAGCGCCACCCCCGCCCCCTCCGTCAAGTTGCGTTCACGCCGCGCTATGCAGACGCCGTCGCGCAAACCTCTCGGACCTGGGCGGTTCCGGGAGATGTTCCCGGATGTGTTTCCGGGAACATTTGCTTCGGGGGGGCGAGGATCCACGCCTTGCCCCTTGCCGTCGTCGTCGTCATCGTCATCGTGGGCGTCGTCGTCGGTTTTTCTTGAAACTGTTCGTATTCTCTTCGTGCTTCTTTGTTGATCTCTCTCTCTATATATATAAATATGTGTATACATATATATGTATATATATATATATCCATATATCTATATACATGTATGTCTCTCTCTCTCTCTTTCTCTCGCTCTCTGTGGTCTCTCTTTCCCTCCCTCCCTGTGTAGTACATCTATGTGGTATGCATGTATTCATGCATGTATGCATGTATGTCGGTATGTCTGTCTGTATGCCTGTATGCATGTATGTATGTATGTATGTATGCATGCATGTATGTATGTATGTATGTATGTTTGTTGATGTATGTATGTATGTATGTATGTATGTATGTATGTATGTATGTATGTATGTATGTATGTATGTATGTATGTATGTATGTATATATGTATGTATGTATGTATGTATGTATGTATGTATGTATGTATGTATGTATGTATGTATGTATGTATGTATGTATGTGTATGTCTGTATGTATGTATGTATGCATGGATGCATGCATGCATGCATGCATGCATGTATGTATGTATGTATGTATGTATGTATGTATGTATATATATATGAGTGATACATATGTGTATATATACATATATATATATATATATGAGTCGTATTCCGAGGGGGGGCGGGCCGGTGCCGTACTCCCCCATTCCCCCATGGGGGGATTTGGGGGGTCCCAGGGCTCCCAGGACTGCCCGGGCCTGCTCCCAAACACGCCACGACACGCCAAGAGGGCCCTTAAGATTACCAAGACAGCCCCCAGAGGCCCCGGACACGCCGAACATGGCCTCAGGACGGCCGACGACGCCGCCTACCCTCCCCGAAGGGAAGAGGGGTTGTGGAGGAGGAAAGAGACCCTCGTTAGAACACCTGTCGCCCAAAGGGCTGGTGGGATTCATGATTTTGGGCTCTTTGCCTTTTGGGCCATCTCTCAGCCCTCTTAGGGGCTTCTTCTTGTGCCATCTTGAGGTCATCTTAGGCCGTCTTGGATGCATCTTGGGCCGTCTTGAAGACATCTTGGTGCCATCTTGGGCTGTTCTGGGCCATCGTGGCTATCTTGTAGGCATCATGGAGGCCATCTAGGGTCATCTTGGCTGGCCGTCTTGAAGACGATTTGGGCCACGGGGGAATTATCGTGGGAGGTTGTCCGAGTTGCCGGCGCGATCCGCCGAGACCTCTTCGGAAATTTTTGAACGGACCAGAACAATTCAACGTTTTGCACGCCGTGCGCCCTTGTGACAAGCCGCAGGGGCGGCGGAATCGAAGACGGCTGCGGCGAATCACCGCAGCCCCCTGCCTTTTGGAATCTCCCGTGTGGCCGAGCGTTGTTGCAAGTTCTCTGCCACGCTATCGGACCATGTGTTTCCCCAGCCGTTGTGGAAACCCTTCGGGTAACACTTGGGAAAGGATGGCGGGGAAGATCAGGAGGAGGAGGAGGAGCAGGAGGAGGAGGATGAGGTATCTTGGGAGCCTCTGGAGGCACTCTTGGGGTCTCCTGCGAGCTTCCTGGGGGCCTCTTGGAGGCATCTTGGGGGCCTCCTTGGGCCTCTTGGGTGCCTTCGGGCCTTCTCGGAGGCATCTTTGGCCATCTTAGGGCATCCGTGGCCCGTGTGACGCCGTCGGCAGCCGTCTTGGGCGCCCCTCTGGGCCGACTTGGGGTGGGGTGCTCCAGGGGCGTCCTGGAGGCCATCTTGAGCGTTTTGGAGGCCTCTTGGGCCGTCTTGGGGCCCTCTTGGGGCTGTCTTGGGGGCCTCTTGGGCCGTTCTGGGGCCATCTTGGAGGCCTCTTGGGCGATCTTGGGGCGAATTTTGGGGTCTTGGGCCATCTCGGACCGTCGGAAGGCCGACAAGAAGCATATGCCTTAATCCTTCATCAGCCGTTGGAACATCAATGATTTTGGCTTCTTCGGGCCGTCCTGCAGGCCCTTTTGGAGGCCTCTTGGGCCGTCTTGAAGACCTCTTGTGTGCCTCTAGTGCCGTCTTGGGCTACCGTAGAGCCATCTTTCGCCGTCGTCATGGCCTCATGGCTTGTCTAACGCCATCGGAAGCCGTTTCGGGGGCCTCTATAGGGCCGTCTTGGAGGCCATCTTGAGCGTCTTGGATGCCTCTTGGGGCCCTTTTGGGGGCATCTTGGGGGCCTCTTGGGCAGTTCTGGGGCCATCTTGGAGACCTCTTGGGCGATCTTGGGGCGATCTTTGGGGGCTCTTGGGCCGTCGCGGACCGTCAGAAGGCATGAGTAAATCGCCAAATCCTTCCAACACCTACGGAAAATACATGAGTTTGGCCTCACCAGGCCTTCCTGGAGGCCCTCTTGGGAGCCTGTCGGGCCGTCTCGCAAGCCTATTGGGGGCCTCTTGGGCCGTCTTGGGTCATCTTGCGGCCATCTTGGGCCGTCTTGGGGGCCTCTTGGGCCATATTGGAGGCGTCTTGGAGCAATCTGGGCCGTCTCAGAGGCCATCTTGGCCATCTTGGGGCAGCTTGGAGACCATCTCGGACCATCTTGGCCTTTTTCAAAGCCGTCTTGAGCCGTCTTGGGATAACTGTTTCAGAGAATTCCGAAAAATGCGCTCCCTTCAGTGGACGGGTGGGGCGGGCTGAAGCCCCAGGGAGAGTTCTTTTGGAAAAGAACCAAACCAAACCGTCTAGTGTCCAGCACGCCCGGCACCCCTGTGGCAAGACCACAGGGGGCGGCGGAATAGTTGTATTAGGCCCATTCCGCCACCGCGCCTGCGTTGTAGGGCAGAGGCCGCTTGGATGCCTGTGGGGATCTCTCGGGTGTCCGTGGACGCCTCTAGAGGCAGTTTTGGGAGGGGTCTTGGGGCCTCAGGGGCTGGTTTGTGCCTCTTTGGGGCCTCCTGGAGCTTGCGGAGGCTTTGGGGAGCCTCTGGGGGGCCTGCTGGCTGTCTCGAGGGTCATCTAGGGGCGGGGAGCGCAAATCATCAGCTCGAAATTCCCCTCTTGGAGCTCTTGTGGTGCCGTCTTGGACCATCTTGAGGGCCTCTTGAGCCGTCTGGGGACCCTCTCGGGGCCGTCTGGGGCCTTCTTTGGGTCGTCTTGGTCCGATTGGGGGGGCCTCGTGGGCTGTCCTGGAGCGTCGGACGCCCGAAGAGGCGGGCCGTCTTGCAATTTTTCAAACATCTAAGGCATGTGAATGATTGCGGCCTCTGATTCCGTAGCCTCAAGCTATTTCTGCTCAAGCCGCCATCCGGCCAAGCGAGATGACAACCGTCGGCAATCTTTCTCCGGACGTCGAAGATGGTCAGCCACAGACTCAGGTTTTGAAGGCAACAATGTCTCGACAAGCAGCCCCGCTTGCATGCCCGTTCTCAGTCTGCATGATTGGTACCTGCCTTTTCTGGATCCCTCTGGTCTTCTGGCTAGCGGCTGCCCATGTGTTTCCTTCATGCGAGAAGGACCTAGAACTGTTGAAGAAGCTTTACGGCTAGTACATCTTGGTTGCCCTTATTTCCATGGCTACATCGATATATGGCGCTACCATGATGGAGAAGCGCATGTTCGACTTGTGCGAGGCGGCGGTGACGGTAGTCGGATAACGTTGTAGCATCGGGCTTGTGATTTGGGGCTTCGATGTCTGGTCGGGCACCAGCAACGAGAAGTGTTACAATGGCGATGCGGAGAAGGACCACTACATCAACCCCCGAACGCTGTCCGGCGTCTTCGTGTTCTTGGGCCTTTTCGGCATGGGTTCGAGTATCCTCCAGGCTTGCACCGCCTTGCGGAGGTACGCAGCTGGCGACGGGGTCCAGACAACGACCTGAGGGGAAGCCTTGTCCCAGAGTGAGTCCGCTGTCCTGGCATCAGGCGGGGCACAGAAGAGCATGACACCTGCGAGTGTTGGGAGCTATTGGCGGGGCTCGCCAAAGGCGAAAGCAATATCGTATTTTTGTCTGCTGTCGGTTGCCTATTGACAACCGCCTGTATCATTTTACGCAAATGCTCGCAATGATTGATACGGGCATCTAGCTTCAGCGCACGTGCGCGACAGTGCCAGCGGACGGAACGAAAGAAAAAACAAATAATGATTGTGGCCTCCAAGGCGCTGGACCGTCAGGAGGCCGTGTTGTTCTGCGTCTTGGAGCGATCTTCGGGCGACTCGGGGCCCTCTTGGACCGTCTTGGGAGGCTTTTGGTCCCCGTTTGGCCCGTCTTGGGGCGCTCTTGGAATCGTGTTCCGCGTGAGAAAGACCTTCTTGTCCACGTCCTCGGCCTGCCCCACCCGTGCTCTCCCCCCCCTTTCTCCCCGCCTTTGCTCCTCCTCGTCCGTCCGCGCGCGCGCGGGGGAGGAGGGCGGAGGAGCCGGGGGAGAGATGCAGCGCGAGAGGGAGGCAGGCAGGAAGGAGAGGAGGAGGACTTGAGGCAATGTGGCCCTGGGGCGCCGTAACCCCGTTAGTGGGTCCCGGGTCCTCATGAAGCGCTAGCATAGCCCCGTCTGTCATCACGTGCGTGACGCAGGGAGGAGGAGAAGGAGGAGAAGGAGGAGGGCGAGGAGGACGAGGAGCTGGAGGATCTGCCCTACTCTCCTCCCTGCCTCCTCCTCCCTCCTCTCACCCCGCCCGCTCACCCCCCCTCGCCCTGTCCTCCTCCCCGCCTGCCCCGCTGTCCCCAGATATGCGCGCCCTGCTTTTTGTTCGCACTGGGGCCCCCGAAGTCCGGACCCTTTCCCCTGGACCGGGGGTTCTTCCCGAGTTGTTTTTTGACGGCCCAGGCCAGCCACGCGCAGAGGGGGGCGGGGGGAGGCGGGAGGGTTTCTTTGAAGCACCCCCTGCTGCTTAGAAGGCGCGAGCCTTCTCTATAGATGTAAGGCCGGCGCCTTCTAAGAAGCAGCCTCCTTCTAAGAAGCCCCCCTCCCCCCTCCCTCCACCCCCTTGTGCGCACCGCCAACCAGGGGCCAAGCGAGGGCCCCTGGAGGCCGATAATGGCCACAAGCCTGCCGTCCTGATCTCTTGCACGACGCACGCAGGTCTCGGAAGGGGGCCATGACGGGGATAGTTACACCAGAGAAAAAAACCCAATCAGTGGATGGTTTGATCGATGAGGAGATGGACCAGGAACCCGGGAACCCGGAACCCACCGAAATCGGCCCAGAACCAGGAACCCTGGAACCAGGAACCCTGGAACCCAGCCGGCCACCAAAATCGGCGGGACATTTTCGCCAAATCTTTCAATTTCCGCTAGGACCCCTTCAGTGCAAGCACTGATTGGGGAAAATCTGGTCCAGAGCGTCCCAGAACGCCTCTCAGAGCATGCCAGCACGCTCTGAGAGGATCGCGAAGCCCGACGCATCTCCCAGCGCCGCCAGCTCTCAGAGGTTGTCGATCTAGCCCCACCCGATCTTACAGTGGAGACCCATGCCCGCAGTGCCCTGGCAGTTCCCCCCGCGCGTCTGCCCCAGCCGCCGAGTGGCCACCCTCTGCGCCCTGCCTCTCCCCAGTGCGCAGTGCGTTCGTTATCTTAGCGCTGCGTTAGGTCCAGGAGCCACAATGCTCGCCACCCACCAATCCACCCCAACCCAACCCGAAGCCCTCAATTTGCCTTCCATTTCCAGTGGGGGGGGTCGGGGAACGTTGAAAAAATACATGGTGTCCGTACCCCCCCAAACCCGAAATTCGGGTCAAATACGGGTCTTCGGGTTGGGTTGGGGTGGTCTGGTAGGTAGTCAAATGCATGACCAGTGGAAAGCAGCCCGATCTTACATCCTGATCCTGGTTTCGTCTCTCTGCCCGGACCCCGCCCTCCTGCCCCGCCAGAGGGCCCGCGCCGCGCCCGGGCGCTCTTCTGGGCCCTCCTCCTGGCCTTCGTGGCCCTCGCGCTGGCGCCCATGCGGCCGCGGCCAGGCCTCATGCAGTCAAGGCCGCCGCCGCCGCCGCCGCCGCCGTCGTCGTCGTCCTCGTCGTCGTCGTCGTCGTTGCGGTCGTGGCTGTCGTGGTGGTCGTCGTGGTCGTGGTGGTGGTGGTGGTTGTCGTCGTCGTGGCTCCTCCTTCTCCTCTTTCTCCTCTTCCCCCTCCTCGTCCTCCTCCTCCTCCTCCTTCTCCTCCTCCTCCAGGCTTGCGTAGGTGTTCAGGGGGCGGGCCTGGGGCGGGCCCTGTTTTTTCTGAGCCCCAGCCCTCCTGCCCTGCCCAGGGCGAGGGTGCAACCACGAGCGGCTCGGCGTGCCGCGATGGGTCCGTCTCCCCTGCTTGGCTCAGGCGGCTGCGGCGGCGCAGGGCTGAAGCGCGAAGGTTCCTCCGCGGAGAGTCCGCGAGGGCCCTTCGATTCTCTGTGGGCATCACGGCGCAGGTATGGCAGGGCAGCAGCAGGGCAAAGGCCGCTCCTCCTCTCGCCAGCCGCCCCCTGCGAACGTGTGGTGGTGCGATCACGGTGGTTGTCGATGCAGTAAGAACTTGCTACATTGGACATGGTGCGAGCATTGCGGAAGAGCCCAGAGAGGTTGTCAGTTCCAGAGCGCTCCATGGTATCTTCAAAGCACTGACGGTGATGGCGTTGCCCCTGTGGCCAGTACTTCTGCCTTTCATCCAGAGTCAAGCTCCCTGTGCACCAGTGCGCTGGAAGCATTGATACGTTTCGCCGAACAGAACGGAGATGAGGCCATGGCAAAGAAGTATCGTGACGCCCTTGCTGCAAAGCAGAAGGCGCCACATTCCCAGCAGCAGGAGCTCTCAGTGGAGGAGCTCAAGTCCATGGTACAGTTGGCTAAGAAGAGTGGCGACACTGCCACAGCAAAGAAGTACAAAGCGATGCCCGAGCCGAGAAGAAGCCGACCGTTCCCGCTGAGACAAGGCGAATCAAGCTAACTCGAAGGTCCAGCAGCTGACCAAGTCACTTGGCTATGAGCAAGAGGTGTTGGCGGACCTCCTGGAGCAGGTCGAGACGCAGCGAGGCGCGGTTCATCCCTTGCTCACTGAGGTGGAGGCGGCGGAGGTGGAGTGCAAGGTTGCAGTGGCGGCGTTGGCTGCGGGCGGTGATGCTGTGGAGCCGTGCTCGGCCAAGCCGAAGCTGTCGCCGGCAAAGCTCATGGACGGAGAGTTGGCGGATCTCGACCTGGAGGACGAGGGCCTGTCCGGGCGCGCAGAGTTCGAGGTGCTTGGGCCCGCGGGCCATGCTCGACCACTTCAGAAGCATGGCGACGCACTTCTTCGGCGAGGTCAGGACGAAGGGCGAGGCGCCCCAGAAGGAGCATCAGGCGCTGCAGGAGCGGCCGGCAGCGAAGAAGAGGAAGACGGATGAGGAGCAGGCGGCGCACAGCGACGCCAAGGTGGCAGAGCGCGGCGGCTGGCGCGGCGCCGAGGGCGCCAGGTGCTGGTGAAGCTGCGGCTGCTGCCGCGGAGGCTGCGACCGGCGCGGGCAGGCAGGGCGCGACGGGAGCGGCGGGGCTCAGGGCCAAGGCGCGCGCCGCAGTGGGCGCAGCGAAGGCCGCGGGCAAGGGCAAGAGCGATCAGTCGCGCCTTTAGCCCAGAGCCTCGAGGTATTCTGAAGAAGAGCGGGGTGCAGTCGAGTCGGCGGCGTCTCCGCGCCAGTTTTGCCCTTCCTGATGTGCAGGAAGACCAGGGCGCAGGCGAGCGCTTACTCCCAGTCCTGCGAGGTCTCTTGCACGACCGCGTCACCATCGTCGCGGGCCAGCACCGCGTCCACTGGTCCGACGGGGGGCACCTGTGCAACATCGGGGACGTCAGAGTCTACAGCTGAGTGCGAGCACTCACTGGCGGCGGCTACCCGCGCGCAGGCCGCGACTCGGCATCTCGGAGCTCCTGCTTTCGCTCGCGAGCAGAATCGCGGTGGACGGGAGCTCGCGCTACGATTTCCGATTCCGAGGCCGCCTCCACCACGGGTGGAGGGCCCAGGTGCCACATTGACTGCGCATCTCCCAGTTTTGCGCGCCATTTTAACCACCCAGGGAGGGCGAGCGTAGCAGCGTCTTAGTTTTTCGTTTTTTCTCCCCCCCCCAGCCGCCCCTGCGCGGACGGACTGCCCCTGAGAGTGGAATCGCGCAACGCGACCTGCTGGAACTCGCTCAAGGAATGGTTCAGCAGGACGGAGTCGCACGTGGTCTGCTTTCAGGAACATCACGTCGTGAGCGACGCGGCTATTCGCGAGGCCACCTCTTGGTGCGCGCGCGCCAGGGGTGGAAGGCTATCCCGGTTTCAGCTATTGCAGGCAAAGGGGGGGGGGGGGGGCTCCCCGAGAGGCGTCGGCATCCTGGCCCTCATGCGCTCGGGGCTGCACGAGCCCTTGCGGTGCCCACCCTGATGGAAGGACGGGCGCGCAACGCCCTGGTCCACCTTCCTGGGGAGCCTTCCCTCTTAGTGGTTTATGTGTGTATGCGCGACAGCGAAGGTCTCTCTGAGCGAAATGTTGGCATCTTGAGTACTCCTGGGGACAGTGGTCAAGAGTTCTGGGATGCAGGCTATCCTGGGTGGCGATTGGAATTTCCGCCCTGAATGGTTGCGTCTGGGTTTGCTGGAAAACTCGGTGGAGCTATCATTGAGGCGAAGAGTGGGAGGGCCTGTTTGTCGCGCGGGGGCTGGGACAATTTGGGCTGCTTCATCTGCGCAGGCGGCGTGTCTTAGGCCATCAAGTCGACAGAGGTGCTAAAGGGTGCCCCATATGTCACCGAATTGCCCTGTTCACCTGCAACGGTTCCCGTTGTTGAGTCAGTTGCGCGCCATGTCTTTTCGCAAGCCGCCCCCCCCCCCCCCACGCACACACACACACACACACACGCCGCAACCGAGAGGCCCCGCGGGCCGGCTCGGAAGCCGCCGAACTGGGGGGCTCTGGAGGAGGCCGCGGAAGGATGTCTCGGGACTTCCTTGGCGGGAAGGATGGAGGAGGCGCAGGACATGTTGGATTGGGTGCAAGGTGCGTGGGCCAACTTAGCGGTGTCCGAGTTGTGTGATCTGGCCCAGTCGGATTTTTTCCTCGGAGCCCACTGCAAGCCCCCTCAGCTGCATTGGGCCCATACTATCTCCAACAGAAGCCCCCCATGTCGCCACCCTCGGCCATGCGCTGGCAAATGGGTGCGCCGGGGGCTCCCGGGCCTGATTTTGGCGTGTCTATTTCCAAGGATGTCAGGGCTCAAGCGCTGCAGCAAGGACTTCGTGACCCTCCCGGATTTGTGGGGGCGGCAGCCGATGGTGACTGCAAGGTCTCTTTGTCCGCAGCGCAGGCGCAAGCTGGGCGCGCGCCCCCCTTCAGTCGAGCAGCCTGGAGGACGGCGCCAGCCGGCAGTTGCAGCCCGCCGGCTGCTACGAGGTAGCGCGGGTTCTTGGCCGAGCTGCAAGCTGAAGCCCGACAGTCAGGTGGGAAGGGCTGGAAAGATTGGCTCCTCAGCAACATCCGAGAGGGGGCCAGGAATGCCCATTTGGTTTCCAATGAGGGCCCCTGGATGGAAAGCCACGACGCCGTCATCCGCGGGGGGGCCTGCATCTGTCTGACTCCCCGAGCCCCCTGCGCCTGGAGGCCGAGGCGCGGTCAAATCTCAGGGAAGCCTCGGGCGAGAAGCCAGCGCATATGTTTAAGGAGCCCTGCCAACCGCTGCCGATGATCCAGCCCGAGGTGATTCGCGCCACCTCGGCGGCGCGCCAGGCCCGCGCAGCCCGGGCAGTCGACGGCTTTCACATGCGACGCTGGTCGTGGCTATCGGACTCTGCGCTGCGAGTGGTATCGCTGCTTTTTATCATGATCAGAAAAGACACCCCCACCCCCAGTCAAACCCTTGTTTTTGCAATGTTGGTCCTAAGCGTTTTTTTTTTTGCGGGGCAATCTGGATATCCAGATTGCCCAGCGTCGCGAGTAGGGGGGCGCCCACATAAGCAACAAAAAAAGAGGGGAGGGGAGGGGGAGAGGGAAGGGGGTGGAGGGGAAGGGAACAGGGAGGGGAGGGGGGGCGAAGGGAGGAGGGGAGGGGGAGAGGGAAAGGGGAGGGGATGAAGGGGGCGAGGGAAAGGAAGAGGCGTCCTCCCCCCTCCCCCCATCCCTCCCCTCCCCCTCCGCCGCCCCCCTCCTCGCGGGGAGGGCCCTCGAGCAGTGGCGCGGGGCCGCGCGCCCCCGAAGCAGCCGTCGACCCCGTCGCCGCCGCGCGTGCCTGGGCGCCATACCAATGCCGCCGAAGCAGCGCGTCGACCCCGAGGTCCGCGCGCTGTGCAATGTGCTCAGCGGGAAGGCGGGGAGGGAGACGGGGGGGAGGAGGACCGTGCCCCCCCGCCCCCGTGCCCCCCGCCCCCGTAGGCCGAGCCCGCGGATAAGCTCACGGCCGTCGAGCAGGTGAAACGCAAGCAATACATGGGGATCGCCTCCATTTGCAAGGTGTTGCTGAAGGAACGCTAGGGGGGCGGGGGGGGAAGCAGGGCGATGAGGGAGGGGCGGAAAGGGTGGGCACGACGGGATGGGGCGGGTAGGGGGGATCGAATCGGATGTAGAGTAGGGAGAAGGGGGTAGACGGTAGGATGAGGGTTGGCAGGGAGAGGGGCGGGGTCAGACGGAGGAAGCCAGGGGGGGCGAGGGAAGAGCGGGAGGATGATGATGTAGGTAGGAAGGGGCCGAGTCGGGAGGCGGAGGAGGAGGCCGAGTCAGGGGGAGGGAAGCAGGCGTGACCCCCCCCCCCCGGAGGAAGATGATTATGATGGCCTCAGGGGGTTCCTCGAAGGTCGGAGGAGGCGGCGGTTCGAGCAGAAGGTGCAGCAAATCAGGGAGGAGCGGCGTATCGAGTACGAGCGCGGGCAGGCCATGTTGCGGGGGCAGGAGTACGCACGGTGGTCTAGGAGTCGGAGCTGTTGGGTGGACGAGTTGGTGACAGAGTCTGAAAATGAGGAGGATGTGGAGGACTTCATTCGAATTTCGCGTCGAACCTCGAT